GACATTGCTGGATTCCTTGTAAGACCAGGAATGTTTTGAATATAAATGTCATATATTTTGCACAAAAGATAACATATTTACTCAGAGAAAACATTTTATCTAAAATTTGTAAGTCTAATGCAAAATTTATGATGTTTATATTCAAAATGATCACCAAATTGTAAGAATTCCAGCAATGTAAATTATATTCTGGCCGGGTAATTTGTATGAATTTTATGAGCTAAAGCAAATATCTTCAGTTAATAAAAAAAAAAATATTCTTCAGGACACTATCTGTCAATCAAAGTACCCCACCTTGCCTCCCCCCCTCTTCCAACCGCATGGACAGTCCCAACCCTCCCCCCCACCACCCACCAATCCTCCCTTCAAGAGAAAGGTTGGGTGAAAAAAATAAATTTTAACATTTTGTATAAAATAATACCTCAGATTAAAGTTCGGATAATATAATTGACATTGCTGGATTCCTTGTAAGACCAGGAATATTTTGAATACAAATGTCATATATTTTGCACAAAAAATAACATATTTACTCAGAATAAACATTATATCTAAAATTTGTATGTCTAATGCAAAATCTATGATGTTTATATTCAAAATGATCATCATATTGTAAGAATTCCAGCAATGTAAATTATATTCTGGCTGGGTAATTTGTATGAATTATATGAGCTAAAACAGGCAGTCAGGCAGGGTTGTGGGTGGGGGGTGGGGCAAATCTAAAAATAGCGTCTCGAGCCGGACACTCACCGCGTATATGTGGAAAAAATCCGTGTTAAGTGAAAGTTCGCTTCTGGCGAGGCACCGCGTATATGAAAAAACGCGTTAAGTGAAACCGCGTTAGGCGGGGTAATACTGTATACTGTAACATATTAAACACACTGCAAGTATTTTCTTTAATTCATACGCTTGCTTCACACGAGACGATCGGTGGTTGGAGTGTTCCCTCGTCTCGGTGGTGGGACTGTGTTCCCACTGTTTATACAACAGCTACCACCGTATTCTAATTGTGGTGTTTCATTAGGATTTGAGTGAAAAAAGATTACGGTACATACTTACTACATACATTTATTACACAAACATATATATATATATATATATATATATATATATATATATATATATATATATATATATATATATATATATATATATATATATATATATATATATATATATATATATATATATATATATACAACAAAATATATGTGCAAAAAATAAATGTTAAATGAATTATTTATGGTGCATTAGGGTACTGGTCACTTCAGACACAAAGACGGGCTATAAATAGCCTTCTTTATCTCCCCTCCATCTCACCCTGAGCCAGAGGGAAGGGTCTTGGTAAATAACATTTGTTTCCTTATTTTCCATTTACAGTGACCCCTCCGTTAACGAACTCAATCCGTTCCAGAAGGTCGTTCGTTAACCGAAAAGTTCGTTAACCGAAACCATTGTTTCAATGGGTTTTTGGGTAATTGGTTCCAGCTCACCGAAAATTTCCTAAATTCAACAAAAATGGTAGAAAAGTTCACTTACTTTGAAGTGTGTATGTAGAATGCTCCTGGATGATGATGATGATGATGGGATTTAGAATGGGGGTGGAGGAGAAGGAAGAAGAGAAGGCATTGGGGTGGAAGAGAAGTCACCCCATGGCGCCATTTCACCCATAAAATTTTAGCTCTTTGGTGTAATTCAAGATTATTTTCTTTAAATCAAAACTGCACTGCATTATATATTGTCAATATATAAAATATATTTCAAAATGACCAATAATTTGCTTGGAAACACAGAAAAAAGCGTTTAGATGAAGAGAGACTCAAGCAAGATGTTACCTCCAGTGAAAACAGAGAGAGACTAACGCCTGTTTGCTGTGTTAAGAGGCTGGATGCCGCGCATTAAACTAGTCACTTTACCTTCAATTATGTTCAATAATTGTTAAAATGACTAAAAAATTGAATATTAAACTTTTAAAATTATTGAATAGTATAAACTTCTTGATATTTACTAAAATAGTAAGGAATTTAAGCCCTAGAACCGATTAATGTATTGGCGGACTGATACTAAAGCTGGTTGCCCGGTCAGTGCAAGCGAAAACATGTTGAGGTCGGTTCGTAAGAACTTCATTAACCTAATTTTTTTTCGTTAACCGAATTGAAGATCCTTATGGAAGGCAGTTCGTTAATCGAAATTACGTTAATCGAGGTGTTCGTTAAACGAGGGGTCACTGTACTTGAAATAGATTTACCAAATTATTTGTTTATTTATTTAAAAGTCATTTACTGAATATTCTATGTAAAAAATAAAATTTAAATTAATTATTTATAGGAGATAAGTATTATGATCAGTAAATATATGGTATTACTGGCCACTTCAGACACAAAGACAGGATAAAAATAGCCCATCTCCCCCTCTTACAGCTGCCAATGGGAAGAGTCTTGGTAATTAAATTTGATGTTTATTTTCAGTGTTTGTCTAATTTATCATGTATCAAAGTAATATTACTAAAAATTGTGTAGGTAGTAGGCAGCTACCAAACAGGTAGATACTACCGCCTGGGAAGATATTGGAAGCATAATGTGTTGTCTAATGGTAGATCCTGCTGCCATATGGCATCACGAAAATTGTGACCAAGTCCCAGGTTCAGCGCTGACCTGACTTTCTGCCTCATTCACACACAATTGCAGTTTCAATTGTTCCTCTAACTTTGACAACACAACATACATACAGTATATTATTTCTCACTTTTGATCTTTTTTTTACTTTTTGTATTTATTTATGGTTAGTTACTTAAAATAAGGCCAATTCACTTCAAGTAATGGCATCAAATGTTACCAGCTGGTGTAGTGTAAACACTAGTGACGTCACTTAAGCATCTGTATTTAACTGTCGGTAGTTTTAAGAATTAATGCAGTCATTTTCTGAATATTCCTTGTAAAAAATTAAATTTTAAATTAATTATTTATAGGAGATAAGTATTATTGTCAGTAAATATACCGATATGCATTACTGACCACCTCCATGGCTAAAAATAGCCCAATCTCGCGGTCACTTTTCCTTTCTTGTCTCCTCACTGGCAAATGGGGGGGGGGCGTGGGGAGGGGTGTGTGATGATAGCTGTGTTTATTACAGGGGTATAATGTTCTTTCACGGTATGTTAGACAGGTTTATAATACATTTTTATTATTTTAATATACCGGTAATCTTAATTTGAATCCAGCTTGCCAAACGTAAGTTTCAGTATAAAATAATTAGTGGTAGGACCTTGTGAGTGGCTTGCGATGTTTCCATCACCACTCTTGACACACTAAACCACAATATTTAAGAGTTAAGAATTTTATACTTGGTGATTAAGACGACCCCCTAACTTTGGGCAGATTTTTTTAATGTTCAAATTCCGTCTTATAAGCCGAGATATACGGTATTTACAATACAGGTAATGGAAATTACTGTCTCTGGAATGAATGGCTCCCTGTCCCAGCCACGAAAATGCCGGCAACTTTAAAACTACCCACAGACATTCTTGGGTACATCCAGAGTGTCATCCACAAATAATAGAGGACCGCAAAATAAAAATCCACGAATTTGGGAGGCCTCCTGTACAAATAATAATAATAATGGGAAAATCCTTTCACAAATAATCAGAAACAAACATATTAATAGTGTTGAATCTACCCTCTAGTTGACTCCGGGCTTTATTAATAACAAAGTACGGATTGGACTTGAGACTCAATATTTTTAATACATTTGTTTCTGATTATTTGTGAGAGGATTTTCCCTTTATTATTTATTTGTATGTATTTTATGTGTGTGTGTCTACACAGACACATACATACAATACAATACATATATACAATCAGAAACAAATGTAGAAAAAATGTGAGAGTCTACCCTCAAGTCAACTCCATGCTTTGTTATTAAAGTTGGGTTGGCTGGGTTGCCATGTGGCAATTTTTTCCTCGTAAAAATTACTGTCTCTAGAACGAATGGCATCTCGGCTCCAGTTGGGTCGATATGTAGATCAAACCTACAGAATTTCTTTTGTAGCCAACTAGCCAACCCAACATGAAGAATGTTGGTAATTGTGGTGCAATACTGTACTTTCTTCACAATATGCATGTAGGATGGTGTGTGCCTGTAACCGAGTAAAAATAAATGAAGAAAGTTACGTATACTTACCCAAAAAATACAAGTTGAAAAAACCATAACACCTCACAGCTTGGCCCAGTAGCCTGGTGGTTACATTGCCTAGTTACAATGCCATGGTTAATCACTATGAAACATTATTCTATTAAAAACACTAATAATAACAGTAAATCCAGTGTAATACGGTAGGGAGCAAGGAGAGTTACAATTGCAAACAATGAGCTAACTAGCAGTCACTCACTCCCCTTCTCCACTCCCGTTGCCAGGCATACGTATGGGAGACATCCATGACCTTTTCTCTCTTCACTTATTTGGGCACCTTCCTGTGGCTGGATGAAGGTGATTGAGGGCATTTGGAAGTCATTACAAGCACAAGGAGGACAGTTGTTAAGAGAACAGAGCAGCACACGCTCAAAATGGACAAGTGTTTGACCCAGACTGTCACTGTGGTGGAGTGAGTGGACGTGGCCCAGCCACCTGGGACAAGAGAGACACCTTGCAGGACGCCATAAAACTCACAGGCTCCCCGTCCAGGCCGTGAAAATGCCGCCAACTTTTTAAAACTACCTGCAGACATTCATGGGCACATCCAGGGTGTCATCCACGAATAATCGAAGGCCGCAAATTAAAAATCCGCAAATTGTAAGGGCATGCTGTATATCAAAAAGTTTTAAAATGTGGGGGGTTGGATGTTTAGCATTGGTTCATTTGTGTTTGAATGCCCCAGAAAGTATTTGGTAATTATTTAATACAGTATTTACTTTACAGTTTATTGTTATCAGAGTTTTAGTCACTCTGTACTGGCTGTGTGACTGCTGATCATTTGCTTGATCTTAAATCTAATTTTATTTCGACAGGTCATCAGCCAATCCCGAGCAAGATTTGCACCACAAATCCCAATGATCAAGAAGTGTATAGAACTGCTAATTGACAAACAGTATCTTGAACGCACCCCTAACACTACAGACGAGTATAGCTATGTTGCTTAATTCTTAGATTTGTTAGTTGTTTTTTCATAATTTGTGGAAAGACCTGTGATTGTTGGCCTAAGAGAGGAAACATTATTCCAGCATTGTTTTCTTTCTTATTTTAATAATTTAAGTAATTTTTACTGAAAAATCCTTAAAGGTTGACACTCACAGATGAAACCCTCCTCCAGATGTTTGACTTCACTCCAGAGTGAGGTATGTACAGTGTGTTGCCTGTTTGACGGTGAATTTTGTACATTGATGTAGGTGTTAAAAACTTTTCTTGCCTCTACAGAAGGCTGCTATTCACAGCCTGGTATGTAAATAACCCAGATAGAATGGTGTAGTTTATATGGGTTGTATGCTACTGCTTGTTCTAAAAGCTAGACTCTGGACACTGGCCACATCCAGCTAGGACGATGGAAGGACTTCTTGGCACAGGTAGCAAAAGTACCTTATGTTACCATTTTTTATTATATATTATGATATGTGAAATATTAGATGCAACTGATTCCTTGCTCAGACTTGGCTAGGCTGAAACTTTGTATAAAAATTAAGTCTTTCATGCTGTGTCCAGCATTTGTAACTATGAAAATGAATTGCACTTCAGATGAATTTATGAAGGTAAAAAATGCTGTGCCTTTTTTTCTTTTTCTTCTTCTTCCTTCTCTCTGTATTTGATGGTGTCCCACTGTGTGGGATTACCCAAGCGCAGAATCTCCTTTATGCTTTTTCCCCCCCATGATATATATATACTGTCTAAATATACTCTTTTTGATTCACATTGGAAGTATAAAAGGTTCTTTCAAACATCAAACCTTTTATTTTCATGTTGCTTATGAATTCTAACTTCATCATAAATGGCAGCAGTTTATAACTTTCTCTCAAACTTTGCAGCCATAGTTAATATGTTTAGAGCAACATATCTGATTTTAATATTGTGGTGTATAGTTTCACTCTCTTGACATTGTTGTTGAACCTTAAAAACATTAAAAAAATTTCACACTGCTGAAAGGAAATTTATAAAAAAAAACTCAAGACAAATGTATTTGTATAGGCATGTACTCCCTGATATACTAAATTAGCATTTTTATGTAGAGTTCTAGCTAGTGTTGAATGAAGCATATGCTTTTTTTTTTATCTAAAATCATAAATGATGGTGTACTGTTTATCAACTTTTGAAGGAAAATAAAACATAACAAAAGAAAATTACAGAACTTTTCAAAATATTTCAGAATACATCTAGAGGCATATTAGTTTTACTTTTGCTTCAAGCTTCAAAAATTTTGGGGGTTATCCTTTTAATTTTTCTTTGTTTTAGTGTCAAATTTTAATTATTGCATGTTGGGCTCATATGCTTTTTATTGCCTACCTGGAACTCTGCACATCATATCAGTTCTAACATCAATATCTGAGAATGATAAGAAACAATGGAACTGATGGAAAAATTTGATGAAGGATACAAACATTGAAGTCTTCATGAATGAAACATTAAAATAGTTTTATGAGACAATTCACATGGGATCATTATCTACACATTGTCCAGGTGAAAAGTTGAATGGTAAGGTTTTCTCTGATATTTTCAGTCAATACAGGTGGATCTTGATAGCATGACTAAGATTGGTTAGTCCTGTCACCACAGACCTTTATTGTAACGCATTACCTATGCAAAAGCTTTTTGAAGTTCCCTGTCTTCATTTTTTTTTGCTTGAAGTCAGTAGGTAACCTAATTTTAAAAAGTTTGTCAAAGTTTTTCCTTGTTTGCTTTATATATATCTTTTATGGGGATAATGTACTGTACTTTAAGATAAAATCTTGTAAACTTCCCTATTGGGGGCTGTAAATTAGACTTGCCCTCTATTGGATATGAATTATTTGTTAAAGATTTTCACTAACCCCACAATATTGGGAATGTTAGAGGTCATAGGAGGAAGATTGGCTTAAGATTTTGTTTACTGTATTGTACAACGGAAAGAGTGAAATTAAAATGCCTATGTTTCTCAGTTGGTTTAAACATATTATTTCACTTGCACTCTTTAACTGGTCACTTTTTTTTTATCATAAGTGAGCTTTCACAATTTTTTGTTTTTGTTTTGCCATATTTGATGGGGGTATATATGGTAATTGAGGTACTACATAGACAGGTTTATTGATACAAAAGGGAACTAGCCAAATAAGAACACAAGAAAAAACTTTATAGGTCGGTGTAAAGTTTTACAAACTAGTATACATAATGTTTGGAGATTACATTTGTGTGGGCCAAAGAATTGTGAAATATTGTGTACTGGATAGACATTTCAAGTAATTGACAAGGTGGAAGGGTTTCATAAAGGTAACCCCAAGTGTCTCACTAGTTGCTGAATTGCTTCCTTTTGTTTATAAGTAGGATTTGAAACTTAGATTTTAACTCGTTTTTATATTAAAATGTAAATGTAAATATAACTTATAAATATGAAATAGTTTATAAATTATAAAAAAACAAAACACTTAAAGAACTTTATCAAAGTTTTTAAGTCTTTCATTCTATGTAACATTACTGTACTGGGTGATGGTGATGTCCTGCTAGAACTGTTCTAAATATCACTGCCTTGCCTCTTTTCATTATTTAGTAAATTCGGAGAATTGTGTATATATATATATATATATATATATATATATATATATATATATATATATATATATATATATGTGTGTGTGTGTGTGTGTATATATATATATATATATATATATATATATATATATATATATATATATATATATATATATATATATATATATATATATATTATAGCTTTAATAATAGTAACTTTCTCTTTTGATAAATTTCATCCCATAGCTTGATTTTTATAATTGTGGGTTGTCAGTTGTAATGCTGAACAGGAAGAACATCAAGAAAATCATCAGTGTTATAATTTCACAGTTTTGTCAGGCACTCTTATTTTTCTTGCTCTATGAATAAAATTTATCAGGACAATTTATTGGTTTTATGATGTTAAAGTGGGAGCACCATGGACTTCTCCCTACACATTTAAATAAGATTTGGAGCTTGCAGCCAGGTGGGTTTGGTTTTATAGTTTTGGTATACACATACTGTAGCCAATTTTTATTCACCTAATTTTTTGTCAAGGCCCTAGGCTTGTCACTGTCACCACCCAGTGAAGATTTGGGAGGTAGCATACATGATCTAGCCTTGTTTTTATATATACAAAAGGGAACTTAAATTTGGTTAACAGTAAAGGAGGGACTGAAGTAGATGAATGTGCAAAACTGAAGTAACTGTACAGTATTTGGAAATTATTCTGTAAGAACTATTGTAGGAAAGAATACAGGTGAGTAGGCTGTGGAATGGCATTCTGATTAAAATTATTGATCATTAAAATAGATAATGTTTCAACAGTAAAGCAGTCTTACTTTTTTCTTAAGTAGGATGGATACAGAGAACACTACATTTGATCCTAGTCTTCCTTAAACCATAGAGGTTTGGTAGTGTTGATCTCTATTTGTGCTCAGGTGATTACCCTCATGTTTATGCCTAGGATAAAGGAAATGTTCTCTTGAGTATGCAAGTTACATCCTTAGGAAACACAGCCTTGTAAATTAAAAAAAAAAAAAAATAACAAAAATGCCCACAAATAGGACCTGTGTTTCAGACAACTAGGATTCACAGATATCAGAAACTGGCAAGATCAGAAGCCTTGGCCTTGGATTTTTCCCCTCAGCACTGTAAAATCATTTGTAGTTTTACATGGGAATACTGGTCTCTCAATAACTTCTTCAGCTTTGGTTGTACCTGGAATAACTGTGCCAAGGTTTTGAAGATAGAAGCTGTCCAGGTTCAGTAGCAAAATTGATTGACAAAATCATATTTCCTGATACATCAACAGCTGAGGTCCTTGTCAGCCTATTATTCATAAACTTCCTCTACTTAAACATCAAAGAATGTTTTATCAAAACTAGTGATCTGATTGATTGACACAAAAAAGCTGGTTTTGCCTTAAACTCTTTCAGTTGGGCCTTCTGTTGAGCCATATATTCAGCACAAGTTTGCAGCTGATCATTTCTGTCTTGAAAACATTGACATAATTAATACAGGAAAGACCAGAGCTGCACAGATTGTCAAAGGATAAAAAATTTGCCATTAGACAATATTGATGGAAAAAGAAAGGAAAAAGATTCTTAAATCTCTATAATTTCATATTCTAAGAACCTCAGTTTTAAATAATTTAGTCTGCTTTTGGGTATTAATGGTTTTGACTAGATTTCTTGGCTTATGGATAGTATGGGACAATGCACATTATATCTTTTGGAATGAATAAAAAAAAATCATAGGTTCCAAGAAGAAAATACTTAGTACAGTACTGTATGTCTTTGTAAGATGTAAGTGGCTGTTGTTGTAATCTGAAAGGCTTTTTATGGTTCATCCTTTATAACTATGGAAAAGCATTAACAATGGGCCAATAATCAAAATATTGAGCATAATTTTACATTTTCAGCTTGCTGTAAATGTAGGATATATTATACTGTATGGTGCTATGCATACACGGGATACTTTAACTGCAGATTTAAACAAGAAACCCATGAGGGGTACTGCTGTTAATCTTAGTCATATTATTAAATGGTAGGATACCGTTATGTGTTGTGTGCTTGTTTTTGGCTCATTGAGTTGTTAATGCCACTGTTGTTTGCTGGTGTACAGTACTTACAGATTTTTTACCTAAGTCACTTTATTCAAGGTGGAAGATAACTGAAAACCAATAAATATTTACTTCATACAAAATTTGCAAAAGAATTCATCAAAAGCTGGATTTCTTTACTTAATGGGATATATAGAAACATATTTCATTGTTTTACTTTTTTCCTTCTTGCATTAGTATGTTATGGTGATGAAAAAAGTGTTTGAAATAGGAACACTGATCACTACTTTGTGATCCAGTGCACAGATTGAATAAAGTTTTTTTTTCCCCAATTAATTGCCGAGTACAGTAAAGACTGGGTGGATCACGTAATTGTTGATGGCTATCATACACATTAAAGCAGTTTTACAGGGAACATTACACAGTTCAGTAACCAGAGGCACAAGTTGAGCTGATTAGATTTTTATGTTCAATTCTCAGTTGTCAGTGTTTATTGCTTTACTTCAGAAATTCTGCTTGATTATTAAAAATTACCAAAGTAATGTACTAAAATCTACAACATATTTTGACCTACATTGGATTTTATATTTATTTTTTTTTAATGTTTGGGGAGACATCATAACCGAGCTTGAACAAATATTGCCAGAACAGGATATTGTACTGTATTTATGAGACTTGCACTGATCTCTCAAAACCCTCTACATCACCAAGTGGATAAGTTTAGGTGGGCAGTAAGCCCCTTGCTAGTCATATTACAGTACCACCTGGATAATTGGTTTGGTGGTGGTCCGGGAGCGATCAGATGGGGTGTGGTCATGATAGTAATGTGATGTAGCGTGGTAGTGATTGTGATGTGATGTGGTGTAACATTTATGATGTGGTGATGTGATGTGGTCCAAATGGTAATGTGGAGTGGTGGTGTGTGGTTTGGTGATATGTGGCTATGTGGTGTTGTCATGATAGAAGTGTGGTGTGGTGTGGTATATTGGCTTGGTGCTTATGTAAAGATGAAGTATGGTCATAAATGGTAGTATGGTGTCATGGTATTGGTAGTATTGGTCAAGTAGTGATTGTAGGATGAGGTGGGGTAGTGGTGTGATCATAATGATGGTAGTAAAGGTACCCTTGTTTTGACAAAACAACCCATCATTTCATGTTTCAAAGTAAGACCTTCATAAAACTGAAAATCTTAACATTCACAAATTTCATATTACAAGTATCCTTCTCTATACGAATGGGTTAGGTTCCTGAAAAAAAAATCCTAAAGTGAATTTTCATATATTGAATAAAAGAACAGTACAGTAAATCCTCGATAACATGGCACATACTCTGCCCTTGCCGAGTTATCCCAAATTTCAACGTATCGAGGCACTCCTCCTCCCCCCCCACCTCCCCTACAAAAATGCAACAATAAAAAATTATCGACTCGGATATGTATACATGGAATTACTAAATGTAAAAAAGTAACACTTATCAGCACTGCAGGTGAAGAATGAAGCATCATAGTAGGTGACAGATGCATGGTAGGTGACACAGGTGCCTGGTAGGTGATGCAGGTGGCCAGATATGCTGAGATTATTCTAGATAATTTTATATATCTCGGCATTTCCCGAGTTATACTGTAATACATTCCGAGACCATATCCATGCCGAGCTATATGAAATTTCAAGTTATAAAATGCAGAGTTATCAAGGGTTTACTGTATGGGAAAAATAGGGTGCGGTTCCCCAATGACAAGAAAATCCCCAAAACGTGAAATTGGTTCATAAATAACAAAAAATCTACCTAACTAATGATAAATAGTACACAACTACTGTAATTTACTACCTAACACATGAATAACATGTCATCTTGTGTCTCATAACTGCACAGCACTTAAGGGCAATGCCTTCTCACCTGACCGTGATTTCTCTCATTCATAATTTCAACTGTTCCACCCAACTATTAGCTTACTCAAATCTTATCCCACATGGTGATAATTTTACTTTGTCTGCAACTGTGCCATTGCAGAAGTTTTTAATATGCCACATGCCAATTAGGCTGAGCAGACAGTGTGTAATTGGACCAAAGTAGCAATTATTCACTGTTTTAGTTATTTGTCCAGATTGAATTCTCAATTAGGGTGAATTTTTAATGTACTAATATATATATATATATATATATATATATATATATATATATATATATATATATATATATATATATATATATATATATATATATATATATATATATATATATGAGCAAATATTGTACATACAGTACTGTACAGTATAGGTAAAAATTATTATAATCCTTAAACAGAATTTTTTTTTCCCAGTTAGCGGTAATTAAGAAAGCCAATTGCAATTATGTGTATGCGAGTAGTTACGGGGGAACTTCACTTCAGGGTTCACCTGGTCTGTAATGCTGTATAGCTATTAATTTCTCATAAAAGTTATGATGGGTGGAAAGGAACCCTGAATTATGTGTCATTTTTAATGTAAAAGGTCAAACGTATCATGGAAATGTTTAATCAGTGCTAATTAACAAAGAATGCTGATTCACAACCAATGAGCAGATTTACATATCCAAAAGCATTTTAATTTTATAATGCTGCACAGTACTTTTTAATGACCAGCCACAATACAAGAAAATTGTAGGATCAAAGATTATATAAATCAGCCTCCAAACAAATTCAGTACAATAGGAATCGTATAACAAAGTCATGGCTCATAGGACTTGTTCAACAACCACTTTGAAAACATTCACTAATTGGAGCTCTTGGCAAACAGACAAGGTCACAGACAAATGTTCACATTTCCCAAGACCTGTGCTGGCCACCCACCAATGGTACGGGAAAGCTTTACTCTTTCCATAATCCAGATGTCATTCACACTCGTGGCATGATTGTATAGCATAAATAAAAAATGTAAGGGATGCATAGTAATTTACTTCTTTTCCGAACAAACCTGAAGGGGGTGATAATGACGTATATACTGTAAAGGGTGATTTTTTTTATTAAAAAGCCCTAAGTAATTTCCATATAGTACTGTAGTAAGTCCTCACCTAAAGTCCCAGATAATGTTGTTTTGTTATTAAGTCCATACTATTTCTATACCAAAGCTCCACACAACATTATGTAAATTCGTTATCGTACTTTGTTCTGTGCAACACTTTCCCTTACTTGCTTATTGATGTTGTACACTGTCACTGCAGAGAATCAGTCTCCCTTACGTCTCTGCCAAGTGTGGATGTGTCGCGTGTTCTGTGTGCCTCATGTTCACCTTGTTTACGTTGTTGCTCTACTTTGCCCATTGAAATGGCTTCAAAATGACCAGCAAGTGATTTTGCGAGTAGTGTTAGTTGCAAGAAGTAAAGGAGAAGCATCAGTCTTGCAGTGAAGATGACCCTAATAGAGAATGTAACTAAAGTGCACCGGATTGTGGGGGACTGGTGGTAGATGCGGTACCGTTCTTGCCTCGCAAGCGAGATGTCACGGGTTCGATTCCCGGGCCGGTGGAAGTTGTTTGGACTTACTCCCTAGCCCCCATTAGTCCCTGTTCACCTAGCAGTAAAGTAGGTACCTGGTGTAAATCGAAAGTTGCGAATTCGTATTCTGGGAAAGTTGTTGGAGCTTCCAATTTCATGACATAAACCACTGACTCTTCAGGCTCCTACGCCCTTAACTCGTGAGACATAAAGGCAAGCATGAACTTAGCATGCTTCCCTGTTGGGTGCTGTTAACGCTTCTGCGCTTCACCTTACACAAGGATGTAGGGGGGGTGCCCAATAAAAAAAAAAAAAAAATGTCATTGAGAATCTTCGGTGCTACTATGAACTATACAAAGAAAAGCAGCAGCAAACCAGGCAGTTAACACTGGCTGCTTTTTTTTTTGGAAGGGAGGAAATCAGATAGCATGAGAAGCACAAGACAATCCCCAGGCAGAGGGGGAATAAGGAGGGCCCTCTGGGTCTCTGTTATTCCCACCATCCTCACCTCCCACCGCTCGCTTGCTTCATCTTTGGCCATCGGTGAGTATAATATATCATACTAAATGTTAAGTAACATTATTGTAGTTTATATTTACTGTGCTATATGTATTTACAGTCCAGAATATACAGGTATTTACAAATTGTTTACATTGTCTTAATTATAATGCATGCTAGTATAGGGGTGAAGGGAGGCTGGGAACATAACCCACTTAATTCGTAAGTTTGTTGTGGGAAAAATTGATCCACTTAACGTTGTTTTATATAACGTCACAGTTTACAAGAACGTAACCACAATGTTAACAGAGGATTTACTGTACGCTAAAAACTATATCAGTAGGGAGCCTAATGTTTTGCATAAATGAAGCTTTATGTTACAGAAAGACCTGACATGAACCTACGAGTTATCAGGTATCACGTGACTCATCAGTGGTATTTACCGGTTTTTACTCGGTCACGCCATAGCTCTCACTGTGGAAGAACACGCGTTTCTTGTTGAACTTTACATCAAGAATGTATCCTTTAAATTGCATTTAAAAGTCGCTCTGGTGGTCATACAAAACCCTCGAAATCAGTGATATGGAAACTGGTGAAGCAGTTCAGAGAAACAGGCTGTGTGAAAGTTAAAAAATACATGCACCTGCCAAGTGCTGTTACACCACAGAAATTGGATGGCGGACGAGAAAAAAAGGAAGCAGGTCCATATAGTGTCCAAGTCATTACAGTAAAATCTCGATGATATGAGTACATACGTTCCTTGGAGTCTGCTTGTTTAGCAAAAACTCATATACGGAGGGAATAATACATGGGTTATATAGGGATGCGTTCCCGAGCACCGACAACACTGACATATTTTTTCTAACCAGGATAGTTTGCATATGCACAACCCTAGAAAGGTAATACTGTATACAGTATACTGAAATTATTTATATGGTACAAAGGCACAAAAAAATGGGAAATAAACATGTACAGTACAACAGGTAGACTTACATAGGTAGGTGTGAAGGTTGGTCACATGTTCTCTGTGCAAAACCAACCACCCATTGCTAGCAGTGAAAGTAGTGCAGACAGTAATTTCACCACATTTGTGTCTACCACTGCTTGCACCACGGGCGCTATCACCACTGCTTCCAGCACTTGTGCCATCACCATTAGCACCTTGTTCCACACTCTCACTTTCACCTTCACCACTAGCAACCTGTGAGTCATATTCATTCTTACACTGCCTCCACAATGCACATGCTTTTTCCTTAATAATTGCCAAGGAGAGTGGTATGGAGGCCTGGTTCTAGTTTTCCACCCAGACTCGAAGTAACCTCTCCATCTTCTCCATAACACAATCGCAACTACAAGTAGCCTGCACACTTGCACTGGACACAGTACTACCAGCCTTTTCCATAATCTTGTCAGCAGTTTTCAGGAGTGTACACGCAGTGGATGACAACAATCCAAATATAGGGCAAATATTGGATACCCGTTCACCTCACTTATCCATATCAATTATCTCTTTCTTTTTTGAGAAAGAAATAGGTACATGTGAACGCTTAAAAACTGGTGTGGTGGTTGAACTTGTTGAATGCTTAGGAGGTATGACTATAGCACTACACTAGGTTTGGGATGCCTTTAAAATAATAAGCAAGTCCCAAAGTACTGTATGGCAGCATAATGCTTAGGCAGCACAGGACACAGTAGAGCAATCACAGTTAATAAATGAGGTTCAGTACCAGCAGACAAACTCGGATAGCAGATTCAAACACTGCGCCAAGGGAGAGGGTGGCTGGGGGGAGGACGGTAGGCAGGTAAAGCAGGGGTGCTAGGACTGGCGCATCTACGTCACTGCTTGTTACGACTACTCGGCTGGGTAAACAGAGCAAAGAATATTTTAGGCCCGTGGATGCTGGTTGGCCGGGAGGTGGGAAACAAACAGTTGTCAATTGGTGTTTGTGGGAATATTTCATTCACTCTAGTAATGTTACAGTACAATGTTTCTTATTATGTTATCAAAGGTAAATACATGGTTTATATAATTTCTTTATCACTGGATCCGTCACCATTTTCAAATTAGACTACAAAATATGTATTTCTCCCAAACGTATTTCGATCGTACGCCTGGCAACTGGTGCGGGTAAGAGGAATGACTCATGTGACTGCTAGTTAATGAGTCGTGGAACTCTTTTCCTTCCCTGCCATATTTCTCTGGATTTACTGTTATTATTAGCATTTACTGATGTAATAATGCTTAATAGTGATTTATCATGGCACTGTAGCCACACACCATCCTAAATACATACAGGTATTGTGGAAAAAGTAAAAGAAATAATTGTCCTAAGGGCAAGAGATAAAAATTTTAGTCTTTTAGTGTAGTACAAAGTGAGTACATTATTATGTTTCTCAAAATTATGGCTTTTTCGCAGAAAAAAGTCTGAAGTATAACTAACCCAAGTGGTCACTGTACTCGCTTCTCGTATCATCAAACAATATCGTTCGTATAGTATAGCGAATAAGGTCCAAATTCCTTAACCTCGTATCATCGAATTCTTGTGTAACGAGATTTTACTGTATTGCCACCTCGCTGCCAGATTCCAGTTGGTGGGGATATTTGGATTATATAGTACTGTATATGTTACAAATCCATGCACCCTTGGTGAAATAAAAGCAATAATTAGTGACACGATCAACAGTTCCCAAAGAAATGCTACACTCTATGTGTTGGAGAGCATGCTGCAAATAATAAATTTGTGTCTGTAACAAGGTGATGGACACTTTCAGTGCTTTATTTAGGGTGATCAATTGTGTGGACCATGTCACATCTTTCTGTAACATTAGGCTTCATTTGTTGTACACAAAATACTAGGTTCCTAACTGAAAGAGTGTTTAGTATATGGGAATTATTTATGGTTCTTTAATAAAAAAATTGCCCTATACAAAATTAAACAACTTTTATTCAAAATCATACAGAAGAGAATTCACCTTTTAATATACTGACTGATAATTTCACTTTTCTTTATATATGGAGGAATAAAATTCTTCTTCTAATTCATAAAGGTCTGAGGCCATGTCATCCCGCAATGCCATCAGCTTCTGGTCTGCTTCTTGACTCCTTGTTTTGAAAATCTGCGAGTTTTGAGTTATGGCTTCATTGACAGAAGGGAAGTCATTAAGGATGAGGTACTGCTTAACATCTGCAACCAGCTTCATCAACGATTCTGCTGCTCTGACCTGGAAATTGGCTTAAAGTAATTGCAGTATTTACAAGAAGAACAACAGAACATTGGCTGCAAATGTTCTTGGAAACTTGCAGGTAAGTGGTTCTAAAAGATGGACACTGACTAAATGTAATGAGAACAATAATTCTGGTACTGTAACTCGAAGTTTATGAAGAGACCACATTATTCTCACTACTCAAATTGTTAGAAATAGTATGGTCTTAAAATTGTATGACTGGCATAGAAACCATACTCAATCCAGTCATACAGTTAAAATTCACTCATACTGTACATAATGTGTTCACTTACCATATTAGCAGATCGTACTTGAATCTGGAAATTTATTTCCTCCACCTGAGTCATTCTTCCGATCTGTGTCTCCTCTTCTACTACCCCGAGCTTCACAATCTCTGAAATTTTTTTATTTTTTTCACATTCCAGAATTAATCTGACGATCTACTATAGTTCTAAATAACTAATGATAAAACTACCAATAAAATTATCTGAAAAATTTGCTAAACATTCAACTAATGACACAATAATTTCAAAACACTCATGTCTACTATACAATATACAGTGAACCCTCACTTTACACGGTCAATTGAACCCACGGCGGCCCGCGTAAAGTGAACAACATAACATATGGGATTAATTGAAATAGAGACCGGGCCGACCCCCATACTCCACTTTTTCAGACACAATACCTATGTTGTAGTAAAAATTTCTTAATTTTATGATGGTATGCACACACAATTAATAATTAAGAGAAATATCAATAATATTAGGTTTTTTAACACTTACATTAGTAGAAAAGATGGCTGGGCACACGGGGATGGGGGCTTGGTTCCGAGGCAGAGGGCAGATTATTGGCCCTCACCTGTATCACTTGTATCAATTGTATCACTATCCACCACAGAGGCTTGCAGGGCCTCTTTGTCAAACCCCTCAAAGTCCATATAAGTCCATATCCTCACTATCACTGACTTGGGCCGGCTGTGGTGGGTGGCGGGTGAAGAACTCGGTAATGTTTTGATGACTGGGCGACCTTGTGCGCACCCTGCTCGCGCCGCTCTCCGCGTAAAAGGGTACACACACCGCGGAAAGTGAGCATTCCGTGTTCGGCAGGGTACCTCGTAAACGTGGAAACGTGTGAAGTGGGACCGCGTAAAGCGAGGGTTGACTGTATATCATTATCATACAGCCATTTTCCACACTTGCATTGGTTAAGGCAGTGGCACACTGGGCAATTTCCTCCCAACATGTTGGTCGTTTTGCTGGCCAGACGGCCCAGCAAACCGCAGGATTTTGGCTGTTGCGAGAAATGGACAACGGTTTGATGGCGAGCTTTGCTGGCCGGGTTAGTGGTCAAAGGAGCTTCGTATTAGGTGTTGAATATTTTAAGTAAAAATTGAAATATATCATGAAACAGTAATACAGTAATTTAAAATATAACACATAAAATGGTGATGTTGCTACAATGGCCTGTCACTTTTATAATGAATGAGTCATAATTGACCAGTACTCAATCACTCTCAAATATAAATAAGATTTCAATCACATCTTTTAATGAAAGGCACGGTGAAGTAGCTGATAGAAACAAATTTTATGGCATTCTGCAGTCAAGCACATTGGATAACAGATGTTTATACAGCAGCAAAGGCTGACCAACAAGGGGACCTAACAACTACATTACATTGGGAGATTAAAAAAATGCACAATGGGCATGCTACTCAGGCAGAATCCTACAACTGAGCTATCAGCAGTCCACCATGACACCCCTCCTCCCCATTTGTTACAGCTACCTTCAACACCAGATGAGAAAAGTGAGAGCCAAAATTCATGACTGCAACTGGTACATTAATCACATGCAGTTACCATTGAGCTCATCCCACTCTTATTCATGATGATCATAGCCTTAGAAAGATGAGCAGCAACTGGGATATACAGTGGTCCCTCGGTTAACGAGCACAATTCGTTCCAGAAGGTTGCTCGTTAACCGAAATCCATTGTTTCAATGGGTTTTTGGGTAATTGGTTCCAACTCACCAAAAATTACATACAAACTAAAAAAGAAATGCAGTAAAGTACACTTACTTTGAGGTGTGCATGCAGAAGACTCCTGGTTTATGATGATGGGAATTAGAATGGGGGTGGAGGAGAAGGGAGAAGAGAAGGCATTGGGGTGGAAGAGAAGTCACCCCATGCCGCCATTTCACCCATAAAATTTTAGTTCACTTGGTGTAATTCAAGATTATTTTCTTTAAATCAACACTGCACTGTGCTATATATTGTCAATATGTAAAATATATTTCAAAATGACCAATAATTTGACTGGAAACACAGAAAAAAAGCGTTTATGTTGAAGAGTCTCAAACAAGATGTTCCTTCTTCTGAACCGATAAACAAACTGACGCCAAGCTTGGTGTGTTGAGTGGCTGTTTGGTGCGCAAAAAACTAGTTTCCTGTACTTCAATTATGTTCAATAATTGTTAAAATTACTAAAAAATTTAATATAAAACTTTTAAAATTATTGAATAGTACAACCTTCTTGATATTTACTAAAATGGTGAGGAATTTAAGCCCTAAAACCGATTACTGTATTGGTGGACTAATACTACAGCTGGTGGGCAGCCAAATGCAAGCGAAAACATGTTGGGAAAAATTCGTAAGGAAATCGTTAACCGAGGGTTTGCTCGTTAACCGAAGTGAAGAATCTTATGGAAGGTAATTCGTTAACCGAAATTTTGTTAACCGAGGCGCTCGTTAACTGAGGGATCACTGTACAGTATAGAGATAGCCAGGAGTCCTAGTTAATAATCGGTATATAGGCAATACAGTACAGATACGAGGTCCATTTATATTCCGAGATTTAGGCAGAAATGCAACCAAGTCCTGTCTGAGTGACTGAGCAGCCCTATTTAGGAGTCACTCTACTCTCCTTACATAAAAAGGTCCCCTTCTGTAAATATAGCCTGCCATTCTATTATTCTCCTGACTAAGTAGTCACAGCCTGTTAGGTCATCTCAAAAAAGTCAGAAATCACAAAAAAAATGTAATTGTAAATCAAACCCGTGTCATGGGTTGCATTAGGCTTACTCACGCATCCCTACTCCAATGTTTGTTTTACTGGAGATAAGACACCGGGCGAGCTGTAACTCCATCATCACTATTTCATTTGTGGTTATGTGAGCCAAGCTATGAGGGGAGGGAGGGGGGGACTGTGTTGTATTGTTCATTGTGTCTAACGCCGCCAAAACCACATTTTTAGCCAATAGGTCCAGAGACCATGGGTTAGTTAAAACCTCCTGCCTTAAAGGGAACGGGGCGCTACACAAAGTCCTTTACCGTGACACCATCTACAGGATTGTCAGTGAAAAGAGATTGTGTGTGTGCCAACCCCAAGCCTTACATAGTTATCCTGCCGCAACACCGTTATGATGACTTTCAATGACCCGAGACTGTGTGTGCCAACCCAAGGTTTTATTATTCCCCATGAAAAGAAGATCACTTGTGAAGGCCTGTTTGTAACAAGAGCAATCCAGGCTGGCCTAGTAAACCTAAGTGGTTATATTCCCCAGTAAAGTACCCTCTGTAAATGTAACACTTGAGGAATTAAGGCTCTGTTAAGCCAATCCATACAATCCATAATAGTGTAATTAAATGTACGGTTCCTAGGTTGAAAACTCCCTCTTTACAAAATTACTTTTATTATGGCATAACTGTGAGTGACCCATTTATCCATGCAAATTGTAAATCAGTGTATGGAACCCTGCCAAATAAATGTAAGTGCAATTATCTGCCCATACCTGTGATCCCTATCTTATTACAGTATTATTAAAGGTAATGACTGATTGGTTATTACAAAGTATAATTAATAACTTAGATGGATGTTGTAAATTAATGGAATTCATTAATTCATCATTTATCAAGTATAAATCACATAGAATGTCAGGTAGTGGAGTGAATTTCTACATAGTGATACACCATAATATCCTGGGTGAGTAACCAGTGTGAAGGTACCTGAACTCTATGGTAAGAAAATAAAACACATAACTGTATATCCATTCCCACACATAACTCTGTGACAAACAGAATACAGAACCTCTTACAGCCATTGTATGGAATGTTAGGACCCATCTAAATATGGTGAGTGCCCTAAGAGGAAAACAGCCTTTATGAGGAAAGGAGCTGTCTAGATATAACATCAACATAGCAGCCACAATTGTATCCTGGCTGCTATATGAAGGTCAACTCACAGAAAAGGGGACAAGCTATACCTTTTCTTGGAAAAGTAAGCTTGCCATGGAACACAATTACATTTATGGAATTGACTTTGCCATTTGTCACACCAGATTATGCCTCTGATCTATCTTCTGAGTCTGCTGGGAAGGCAGGATGACAAATGCTATCATCCTCATTAACATAATCCAACTTTAACTATATTAGACCAGACATGTTACTTTCATGGATGGATGTAGACCACCAAAGCCAGGGGAAGATCCAGGAATATCAAAAGGGGGGTCAAGAAGTTGTGGGTAAGGGAACATGGCGAGCGCAGCGAGCCAACCCAGAATTTTTTTTTAAATTGACCAATAGCATGGGCTTTTTGAGGTCATTTTGAAGCCATGTGCACTTGATATTAGGAGATATTGTGAAGTCAATAGTAAATACTTTTTACTGTATAAAAAAGCCATACAATACTGCATGAAAGAAAAGATATTGGAATTTTCTGGTGAAAAGGGGGGCAAACCCCCAGGACCTCCCCCTGGATCTGCCCTTGAAAGCAGCTATGCTGTAGCCATTTAAAGAAAACCAAGCACAGTAGTCGTGATGGGCAATGGAAAAGACATGGATACATTCATGGTAAACAAAAAAGGTGCCATATCAACATTCTCAATAATCCAGTAGGAGTCTTGGCACAAATGCAACCTCTGGATATGACATGAATGATCCAATGTTAGCCTCCCTAGCCACCTTAGTGCTTGACTAATAAGATTCCCACCACCTTGTCAATGCTGAATGATCCTCATACTCTAGTCTGAGTGACAGCAAAGAGAGTAAATATGTCCCCATTTAACAAAACTGATCACAAATATGAAATTGAAAATTCCAAATTAATATTTTCTTTCTAAATAGTCATCTTAAAAATCAGCAGCTTTGAAGAAGAATATAACATACTTTATAAAGGTAAGTAACATACTTTAACTACACTATTTACACTTACCCATAAAATTATCAAGGATGGACTTTACATCATCTTTAAGTCTTCTATTGTAAGACTTAAGGAGTGCTTCCCGACCTTGTGGCTGTTTGCCTTGTTGGGCCATTATGATCTGTAACTGTCACTGAAAGATATAAAAAAAAAAAAAATTAATAATAAATGTGAAAGTCCTGTTTAGGGAAACACAACTATTTCTATGGGTAAAAAATATCCACAAATATTAGTTTTTATAGTGTACAGTGAAAGGTTTTGAGAAAAGTTAGGGTTCAAACAAGGCTAAATTCACTGTCCAAGTCCACAAGAAAAGAGCTTCTTTGAGGGCCTGCAGAAAAGGTATTAACTGATTTGTCTCTTACAGTACAATTCAAGAAAAATTACCAGCAAAGTATGGAAAAATAAAAGTATGAAAATTCAACTTCCAGCATTTTATTTACAGTTTTCTCAAGGTAAGGAAGAAGTTTAAAAAATATATATTATTGCAGAATAGTTGAAAATACTGTAGGTGGTCTGGGTGCACAGGAACAATTAAGTATTGCTACGTATCTAATTTGGTAACACTGCTTTAAAGAGTGATGCACCTATATACAGTACTGGGTATATAAAGTGTACTTAGACTGTACAGGTTTACAATTCACGTGGAGGGAAAGAAATGCTTAGCTATAAGTATTAATGTAGATTAGTGTTCAGGATAATAAAAATTGCAACAATAATACTGTACTACAAGAACTGCAAATCCTCATAATTTTTCAGGATTTTCACAATTATAAAACATAGATACTTTCTTGACTCATGAAAATGATTTGCTTTGTGTGATATATAAATTTTATGATTTCTTTTGTCTTTAATTAACAGATACAGCACTACCAACTATCAAACCAAACCAAACTTACCATTTAACCTAACCTAACCAAAAATGCTAGTTATATTATATTTTAATATTCTTAAGGAGAAATTTTCTATAAATAGAAACAATGTTGAGCTATATCATGAACATGGTGGACATGGCAAGTGAATTTTGGAGTCCTCTCCACAGATGTGACAAAACGTGGTTAAAGTGACGTAAGCAATAGTATTGCTCGGGCACTTTTTGCCGATTTCATTACGTAGGGAAGCATATATGAGGAGCTCCAGACCATAATCTGCTAAGTGCCAAAATAGAAAACAGGAAAATGCTGAGGTAGGAATGTGCAACATACAATAGTCTTTTCAGAGGACTCTCACCCACATTTATACTGTGCATGTTCCCAATTGCCTCTCTGGCTTACCCAGGGAGAGGCTGGGGAATACAATGCAATACATAACATGTTTCAGCAATATATGGCTCTTAGCAGCAGAGCTTCTCTTATGTTCTAAGGGTTAATATTGTCTAACTTGCTGATGCATTATTGTTTTGCTGTTTATATTCTGATTATATTTTCATCAGAGTTCTGATGTGATAATAATTTTAGGGGGAAATTGCTTCCTTTGCTAGATATTTAGGCGACTAGGCGCACATTACTTTCTCTTTCTCGGCGGTGATGCGGCGGTACACAGCCAATCATCTCCAAACGATGCCAGTCGCCAGTGTATGTTTATGAGCTACAGTGTCCGGGTGGCTGCTCTCACATCCACAAAAAACATAAAATTACACCACACCATAGTAAGTTCTTTCTGTTTAATATGCCAGGGAGTCCGGAAGGTGGAGCCTCACGGCTAGGAAGTTAGGTAAGGTTAGGTAGGTTTCTTTGCTTAGGTTGTTGAGGTCTTCTAAGACTGCTTCTGCTGCTTGTTTTTTCTTATCAACTAAGGTCTGGTCTTATTTAAAAATAACCACCTTTTAAAACATCTGCCAAAACTAGGACAGTGCCCTCTATAAAACAGTGAAATTGCAGCATTTTTAAATTCATTTTCTATGAAAAATAGCTGTCGGGTCAGTCGTCAATAATTACCATTCCATGGTGATATGTTCTAGAGAAGGTAGTCAAGGTACACAACTAATTTGGGCTAATAGCTAGCAAAAATATCGTAAGAGTTCCTAGTTAGCATGCAATACTGTTCCAGATTATTGGCAGTATTCTCTCTATATTATTATTTTTTTCTATTTCCACCTTTACTAAATATAATAAGAATTAATCCTTAGATGGCAGTAGGGATGACTGAGAAAGCACCCATTTAAAATACAATATGTTCTCTAGCACTGTAAATGCGAACGACCACTGAAGTCCTACATAAATAAAGATCCACCGCATGATTTGACAGTCTGAGATATCATATACCTGTATAGACTCTACCACAAAATATAGTCACTGCAAAATTTTCGACTTTATCTTTTTTTTTTTTTTTTCCCATCTATGATAAAAAATCACCTGTAGTGGGCAGGACATGAATGATGAGGGAAATTGTGGGGTACAACACTGAAAAACTAATCATATGACACAAAAATTATGTCTATGTGCATGAAGAAATTAACTAATTACCAAAAATACTCCTTCGAAAAATCTGCCAAGTCAGCACTTGTTCAGTTTGTTTACAACCGACCCACTCGGTCCGAGCAGACAGTACTCTCACATCCACAAAAATGTAAAACTACACCATGATGCCTGAACAAAGTTGCTTTCATTGACACCAGACATTAAAATAGTGTAATTACTTTCTGTTTAATACGGCAATGGGGGCAGAGGTCCCTTTACTAGTAAGTTAGATAAGGTTAGGTAGGTTTTTATGGTTGGTTAGGTCAGGCTCTAATAAATGTCACCTATTTTAAAATAATTACGATAATGATAACATTTGTTGAAAAAATGAACGAAATCAAATAACTCCTTCCAGTGGTAGTGTTGTCGTCTCTGAAAATACTGTATAATTATCGTTTCGGTCATCCTTCTGTTTTGAATGATTCTGATCTTACTTAACCAACCTAACCTAACTTAGCCACAGAACTCAGGAACTATATCTAAACCAACCTAAAGTCCTAAGATTCAACGGATGACCGAAACAAAAATAATAACAAAAATACTTACTGTAATGATAAGAACATGTGAAAAAAAATTAACGAAATTGAACAATTCCTTCCGATGGTATTGGTGTTCTCAGAAGTTTTCCCTAGAGGTTTCCCTAACCTGAATAAAATCATCTGACTATAGCCAGAACAAAATTGTTAAGTGCAGCAATCAGCGGGAAAGAATTAAGGCAGTGGACATTTTGCCGTGAACGGCTAAGTTCCTACTAATGCTATTCTACCGTGAGTGCGCTCTGATTGGCTAATCATCCATTACCAGCGAACAATGCGAGAATCATATTTGACTGTGACTGGCGGCATTTGGCATTTATTTTGCCGTGAGTTGATCATTGTGCAGCTGTAAGCATACCAGTTTTATTTTACTTTCGGACATAGCACGCCCCAAAGTTATAAACTACTGAAACATTTAGATCTCCCTATTCTGGTTTGAACCCCACATATACCAGGCAGAAATGGAAAATATCGTCAAAATTTAATTTAATTGAGTTTACGTACTTTTCAGTCTTCGTCTCTGTGAAGAGATGTTATCTGCATGAAACCGAGTTAATTATGAGTGTGTTTACATCATGTCATCCAATCGGGACCAATGATGTATCGATCTCACCACAAGATTTTTTTTCGACCAATCACATTTGAATTTTTTCAAAGGAAACAGCTGGGTACGGATTTGAATTTAAATCACCAGTCTGACAATGGCCATGGTGGAGGTTGGATGTGATTTGTGCTCCTAAGATTATTTTAAGTTTATTGCAGAGTTTTACGAGAAAGACTATCATGCTATCCAATTCCTACAGCCTTGGTTAGGCTACATTTGGTTAGGATAGGCTAGGTTAGTTTAAGCTAGGCCTACCGGGGGTCCACGGCTAGGGGTCAGGTAAGGTTACGTTAAGTTAAGTTGTTAGGTTAGGTACGTTAGGTTAGATGACTCATTTTCGTGTTCTCCCCCACCCAAAAACCCCGATTTCCCAGGCTCTCCCCCATTAATGTTGGGGGATCGGGGTGGGGCAAAAACAAGTACAGTAATTTCCGCCAAAAATAAAGGTCAGATTCGTTTAAAATACACTAGAAAAACATTTTGGTGAACCCCTAGGGACTCATGCCCTAAAGTAAAAATTTACCAAAATACCTAACCATATTTCTGTTGTCCATGGAAATTTGTTATTATAAAAAGAGGCGACAAACCTAACCTAACCAACCAAAGAAACCTACCTAACTTCTTAGCCGGGGTGGGGGGAAGGAACCCCCGTCATATTAAACAGAAAGTACTTAGCCAATCAGAGCACACTCACGGTAAAATAGCGCTAGTAGGAACTTAGCAGGTCACGGCAAAATATCCACTGCGAAGGTAAAACTCTAGAAAGTCATAATAACAAGGAAACCAAATAAAAAAGGTAAGAATGAATAGATTGGGTACTTGACAAGAACCAGCTGAGTGTTGTGCTCAGTTAAAGTAATAATAGTTAGACAATTTTTGCATATTTATACGTTAAGTTAATACACAACACCACATTAAACCTACAGAAGTATATAGTTAAGCTTTGGTAACATCCGGTATAAAGTTTGATTGACACAAATCTATATAAAGCAAATAAACTAATTTATACTTATAATCTATTATTTGAATTCACACGAGCATTATTTTATTAAATTACTTTGGTTTAAATGTATTTATAATAATTATTTCAAAAGTAAATAAGTAACTTGAGCAGGATGAAAAGGAACACTGTTGACTTAATAAGAGCTGATTCAGTTCAAGAATTCAGATTTAGACATTTCTGAGTATCTAATCCCCATAAAAGTTCATTGGTATATTTTTTTCCGTAAATTCATTGTCACCGTCACCTTGGTTTAGGGTTTGCCTAGACAGCGCAAATATACTGTACAGACAGTGGTCCGTAGCAAGTCGGTGTAACCAAAAAGAATAGTCAGAAAGCTGTTACTGTTGGAGCAGAGAATTATCTATTTCTACAAAAAGAGTAGCGGGGTTATTTAAGTCATTTGGCGTGGTCTCATTTCTACAGTCGATGTCGCCATAGTTAACGTTCCCGATGACAAGGAGGTGGCTAGGGTTAAGTTCCTTTGATTTAGTATGCTACAGTTCGGGAATCTGTAGATACACCCGGCAATAAGTAAGTCTCTCCCCTTTTAATTTAATTTTACACCACTTTGATTCTTCAAAAACATCCTCTCCCTGTACCCTCACCTGGCTGGCTCTTAGGTCTTGCCTCGCATAGATAACCACACTACTTTTACTTTTATCCTCTTCATCACTGATCGGCTCGTTAGCCACTTGGGCGATCGGTCACGTCTCTGTTACACACTGTTGGCAAGTACTGGGTATGCACCGGCTCCTGAATGTACCTGAACCTGCTCCGGTGTTGGTCAAGTCTGGTCTTGAAAGAGCTCACACTCGGTGCCGTCACAACACTTTCTGGTAGATTGTTCCAAGAGTTCACAACTCTCGCCCCGCAAAAGTTTGCCCTCGCAGTTTTCTGGACCTGCGGCTTTTTCAATCTTGAGCTGTGACTCCTTGTGGGGCGAGCGTCCGCCAGCTCCAAGTAAGGACACTCGACTAAGTAGTGCCCCTTGAGAATTGAGATGCTTATACACCTCAATTAGGTCGCCCCTTGCCTGTCTGTAGTATAAGCTAGGCAAGTTCAGGCGCTCCAATCTCTCAGGGTAGTTGAGGTACCGAAGTGCAGGCACCAGTCTGGTGGCCCTCCTTGTTAGCTAAGCTAATAGTGTATTAGGATTGTGTCATGGGTTAGTTACGTGTGTCGGTACAGGCACTAAGCATGTAGTGGATTCCTCTCCTACAAACGCTGTTTGTCGCTGGCTAGCCGACCCCGCGAATTCCCCAGTGTATGCCTCGTGGTCTAGGTCAGCAACCAGCGCCGCCTTACATGACTGAGGTCAACTATTAAGCCACGCCTACTCCCGCTATATAAGACCTGACCTCGTGGTGACCTAGCTCTTTTCTACCTACACCAACCATCAAGCAACACCTCCTCCTCCTGCCTGGCGGCCCTCGCTCCCGCCGGCGAGCATGGCGACCCACAAGCTGGTCCTCCTCTGAGCATCCTCACCAACCAGCTCTCTCTACATCACGCTTGTAACCACGCTGCCACTTCCCAGCACCAAGCTGCACTGTACATCCAATACAATATGTATACAGAGAGCACATTGTGAGTTTCCTTTCTCCATCCCATCCTGAGTGTGAACCATTATCACGTACCCCTCAAATGGTGACCCCCGGAGACTCGCACTCACACAGGATGGAGGAGAAACCGATCACTCTCCCAGTCTTCAAGCAACATGGAAGACTGGCTTATCCACACAGAGGCAGCTCTCATCGGCTCTACAACTACTGTTTCTACACCGCAGGTTAGACACCCTAGAGCAGCACTGCTTCTCTAAGCAGACACCAGCTCCTCTTCCTGCCCCAAGCACCACGTCCTACCGACCCCAACACACCCGTCCTGCCTCAGACGCCGCCCCCGGCCCAGCAGAACTCCCTGCCACTGTCCTGGACCCTCCTCCGCTCCTGCCTGGCAGCCCCTGCACCCGACGCGGCCCATGCACTTGGGTGCGGCCCCACACACCCTTTTTTTCCCTCAGGTACTCCCTTCTACTGTCCCGCACCCTGCTGCTGTCATAGACCCTCTTCCTGACACAGCCCCTGCTCCTGACCCAGACCCACACACCCCAGCAGGCGCATCTGAGGACTCTGTACCTGCCGCGAGGGAAGCAAAAAAATTCATCGAGTCCACAACCCTCCTTCTCCCTCTCTCCTCCCACAGATCTCGTGTATCTAGACAAGGTGGTCTCCACTAGCGGCCGGCTTATATACGCCCTCGCCGTCATGTCTAACATGTGGCATGCACCGCCCGTTCTGCCTCACATGTGCCATGCAACCCTGCAGACAGCAAGTCTCATACACCGCCTGGAGGGAAGGGGGGAGTATTGTAGTGGATTCCTCCCCTACAAACGCTGTTTGTCGCTGGCTAGCCGACCCCGCGAATTCCCCAGTGTATGCCTCGTGGTCTAGGTCAGCAACCAGCGCCGCCTTACATGACTGAGGTCAACTATTAAGTCACGCCTACCCCCTCCATATAAGACCTGACCTCGTGGTGACCTAGCTCTTTTCTACCTACACCAACCAGCAAGCAACACCTCTTCCTCCTCCTCCTGCCTGGCGGCCCTCGCTCCCGCCGGCGAGCATGGCGACCCACAGGCTGGTCCTCCTCTGAGCATCCTCACCAACCAGCTCTCTCTACATCACGCTTGTAACCACGCTGCCACTTCCCAGCACCAAGCTGCACTGTACATCCAATACAATATGTATACAGAGAGCACATTGTGAGTTTCCTTTCTCCATACCATCCTGAGTGTGAACCAACATCCCGTACCCCACAGGCAGCCTGCCCTATCCCATATCTGGGTGTTTTGAGGGCCTTATTTCGTATTCCGCTGACCCTATTGGTGGATGCTAGTCAAGGGATGTTGTCTATTGCCTGGCCGTATAGATCGGGGGTGGTAATTGACCTTTTGAGATTTGGTAACTTTTTGGGGAACCATGTATGGTTGTTGTTGTTGTTGCCTGCCGTGCCTGGTGGGAGTATTTGAAGGAGTTCTTGCTCTGAACTTTCTATCTGGCCAGGGTGTGCAGCTGGTGGTTGATGGGTTTTATTCTCAGGTCTCTATAGCCCCTGATTCCCTATGCCTCATGTCTTATCAAAAACTCTCATCTTCCTTTTACGTACTTACACCTGTGGGACACGTGGTGCGTGACAGCTGTCGCTGTTGGGGAGGGGGGTTGCAGACTGTACGTTTTATTTGTTTTACTTTTATCCTCTTCAACACTGATCGGCTCGTTAGCCGCTTGGGCGATTGGTCACTTCTTTTCTTTTTTTCTTTTATCCTCTTCACCACTGATCGGCTCGTTTGCCGCTTGGGTGATCGGTCACGCCTCTGATTATTTTTCCTTTTCTTTTATCCTCTTCACCAAAAGATCGGCTCGTTAGCCGCTTGGGCGATCGGTCACGTCTATGTTACGCACTGTTGGCAAGTACTGGGCATGCACCGGCTCCTGAATGTACCTGAACCCGCTCCAGTGTTAGTCCAGTCTTGTCTTGAA